GTGTGTGTGTGTGTGTGTGTGTGTGTATGCGTGTGTGTATGTGTGTGTGTGTGTGTGTTTACATATGTACATAGGTATATATATAAGTATGTATACAAGTATATATAAATATATATATATATATATATACGTACATATGTACTTATGTACATCGGTAAATACGTAAATATGTATGTGTATATAAGTATATATATATTTATATATATGTATATATATATATATATAATTAGATTGTATATGTGTACCCTGTATGTGTACCCTTTTGTATATGCCTATGTGTGGTTGTATGTACCTTCATGTACTGATGGAACTAAGTTCTCTCCATACACAGCACTGGGAAGAAGAATTTGATAAGAACGACAATGATATAGACATGTCCGATGACGATGCAGATGGCAGTGATATCGAAGGTGTGCACACATCGTGTACGCGCAGAACCGTTTGAACCGTAGTCCAATTTAATCGTAGTTCAATCTGACTTTGAAGCGCTGCCGCCAAAAAAAAAATTAAGTGTCTGATTGGGATCTTAGTTGATTGACTCAATAGTATAATTTTGCTTCAGTTATGGGACTCTGATATATATATATAGTGTACGGGTGTGGCAAATGTTGAAGTTTGATAAAAGGTATCCCGCTAAGACGGGCAAGTGAGAGAATTCAACACTAACCATGGGGCGGTTGAATTGCATGCCCGACTAATCACACTTATATAAGACGAATTCCAGAAATAGAAGCCTTTTGGAAACGGATAACAATTGCAGCTCTGAGACGAAGGTAACGCTTAACCGACACACTACACGACGAACAAATCCAAGCCACAATATAGTCCCATAAAAGTCACATGTTCCAGATGAACTGTCTATATGAAACACACTTGTACAGTGACTGGTTGGTAGTCAGTTGTTTCTCAAATAAGACCTACTGCACACCCCATACTCCTCCCTGTCACAGTCACCATGGATGCCATAGAGAACGCCACACAGTCGCAATCCGGGTATGATGGGGGCGCATACACCGCAAATCCCATAGATGGGACAGCCAAGAGCATGCTGATGTTCAGAGGCCAAGATGTCTCGTTGTTCTACAACTTTCTGGTCAATGGCGAGGGGGGATCGCACACTATCCCTACTGCACTATACGCTCCGTCGCCCTTTAGCAAGGCGAAGTTAGAAACACTCAAGGTAGGGGATGTGTCTAAGTACAGGGAT